AAGAAAGAAGGCTAAAATGAATGAAATAAATGACATGTATATTTTATTAGGCAATAAACGTTTTTATTTTTATTTTTTATTTTTATTTTTATTATTATATTTGAAATACACTCTATAAAACGTTAAATCTAATGCCATTTTTCAACAATTATAGAGTAGCCAGTCTAAAATGGATTTTGCTACTGAGAAAGTTAATCTGTGGGTAAAAATATTTTAATATTATCGGCTTTCATGAAACTTTGCTGGAGAATTTAGCGGGGTAGATTTTAAGACGAAGTTAATTGCTACCAGTGGCGTAGCAACACTTGGATACATTTCTTACAGAAATTTATTCATTTTTTTATCAAAAAATTTGCAAAATGTGTAAATTTCTTACCTCTTAGTATAGTATTATTTTATTATTTTAGGTTACAAGATAGTGAAGAATAACAAAAAGAAGATCCGATAACTTTGTAAAGGTTGGAGTATTGGAAAAAGTGGTTTCGTCAAACGACAGCCAATTTACTGCTTTTGTTGGTCAGATATAGTTAATTAACATTGTTTTGTTAAAAAGCTGTATTGTCTAATTTGATATTGAACTAAAAACAAATAAGAAATTTAAAATTTTAAACTAGTAATTACTTTTTGGTGTATAAATGATCAATGTTGTTCCCTTAAATTTCCGTTATACTCAGATTTATTGAACTAGTCTCAAGAAATATATTTTGATAACATTGATATTTTACTACGCTATAGATAAGCCGTACAAATGGAATATTCAAGGCCATATATATTGGGAATGAGTGCACATTTTGTTTCGCACCATTTTTTTACCTACCTACCTAACTATAATATATTGGAGTCTATTTCGCGATCACTTACCACATACCTACACGATAATATTCACAGTTAGTTTAAGTCTTTCAAGAACTTTTTCACAATAGATAAATACAGAAATTAGAAATTAGGTATATTTAATAAAATCTAATATGTAAAGAAAAAATTGTAGAGGGCATAAGCAGTTATCAACAAAACAAAACATGAGACTAGATAAATGGAAAATCTGATAACTAGCAAGCGATATATCTATTCTAAAATAAAACAAGGAAGACGAAAAGGAAGAGCAGTTGGCTTCTGGATCTAAACACTGGAATTATGGAATTAAGATTTAAGATAACTATCTAAGAGTTATCACAGATCAGATGTTCATGCACTCGGCTCACACAAAGGAATACAATTATTCCAGTGATAATAATTCCAGCAGTCTGAAGGAGCCAGTTACCAAAGGGTAGAAGTTAATTATTATTGCTGCTGGTAATGAGAATAAATTCGTTAAGGATTCGTATTGAAGGTGAAAATCTCAATGTGAATCCAGTGATTATCACTACGAGATGAACTTTGAGAATTACCAGAAATGGTTTATGAATAAACCTCTAATGAATTTACCTCCAAACAGCGTTATAGTATTAGACAATGTACCATACTAGGGGGATAAATAACCAGCCAGCTTCTATCCACAGGATACAGGCTGGTTGATTTAACTGAAAGCGAATAGGTGGGGTATTTTCTAATAAAAAAATCGAGGAAGGGCTGAAAGAGAAGATATACAAGAGTGTGGTGAGACCTGAGTTGATGTAGGGCGGTAATGTGTAGCCTGTAAAGAAGATTCAGGAAATAATGATGGAAGTAGCTGAAATAAAAATGTTGGGTAAGACTAGAAGGGGCAGGATCAGAAACAACTTGATTAAGGAAAGAGCCGAGGTGACTACAGTCTCAAAAAAGATTTAAGAATATAGACACTGCAACGGTTTAGTCATGTCAGATATATAGGAATTGAAGCTATGTGGAATGAATAAAAACTCAAAAAGATTGTAATACCTAAAAATAAACCAACGTTTGATTATACAAAATTGAGAAAAAGAGAAATACATCAAAAAGTGATCCAACAAGTCAACTTAAATCTAACAGAAGTAGGAGAAGAAATCTTAACATCAGAAGATGTCAATGAAAAGTGGAGCAATATTCAGAAGCCATTACTAAAGGCTGCAGAAGAAAATTTAAAGCCTGAAAAGACAAATAAAAAACAGAAGTGGGTGACTTGGTAAATTCTAGCATTAATTGATGAAAGGAGAAAAACCAAAAGGAGAAATGAGCCAAAATATCAAGAACTATAAAGTAGAATCAAAGTAAAGATAAAAAAGTTCAAGGAAAAGTGGTTAAAAGATCAATGCATAGAAATAGAAGAGTATGACAGAAAATACGACAGCTTTAATATACATAAAAAAATAAAAGAACTAACAAATACCAAAAAGCGAGCACACTATGGAATAAACAAAGATTATCATGGTAAACTGATTCCAGGTATCAAAAAGAAACTAAGATTTTGGCAAGAATACATAATGAAACTATTCGACGATGATAGAATGATACAAGAAGAACCACAGGAAGAAACAGAACAGAAAATAATGTGCGGATTAGAATAGGCAATTATAAATGCATATATCACAAAATCAGACCCGGATCAGATACTCACTGAGGTAATTAAATACATTGATGAAGAAACACTGCATATACTGTTAGATATGTTCAACAAAGTATATACAACAGAAGTAATACCCGAAGATTGGTTGCTGTCCACGTTTGTAACACTACCAAAGTCAGTACATGCGACAGAATGCTCCCAGTATAGAACAATTTCCTTAATAAGCCACACACTTAAGATATTTCTTAATACATGGAAGACTATACTATAGAAAGGCAAATACTGAGAGAGAACTACTCAATTTGATTAAAGTACGAAAAATTGGATACCTCGGTCATATTCTGAGAGGAAAAAAATGCGCAATCCCGCAACTAATCATCCAGAAAAAGATTGAAGGCAAGAGAGGAGTAGGTCGCAAACAAATGTCGTGTCTACGGAACATAAAAAACTGGACAGGCATAAATAACACTGGCAATCTTTTGCATGCCGCAAAAGACAGACTTAAGATAATTCGCCAACCCACTATAGGTGTACGGCACTATAAGAAGTAGAAGGAAGACTATATAAAAAAATAAAAGAAGATAGAGATGATACCCAGTTTGAATTCAGATGAGGACTAGGAACGAGGGAGGCTCTGTTTGCTTTTAACGTTCTGGCGCAAAGACGACCAAATATGAACCAGGATCTCTATGTCTGCTTTATAGATTATCAAAAAGCTTTTGATAGAGTACGACATCAGAAAATCGTAAAACTGTTAAAAGAAAAAAATATGTATAGTCGAGATATACGGGTTATTGTCAATATGTACTGGAATCAAAAAGCGAAGGTTAGACTCGAAAATGTCGAAACAGAAACTATTGAGTTCAAAAGAGGTGAATGTGGTGACAGGGTTACATGCTGTCCCCATTATTATTAAATTTGTACAGCGAAGCTATTTTTACGGAAGCAATATCAGAGGAACAACAGGGTATATCAATAAACGGAAAAATCTTAAACAACATAAGATTCGCAGATGACACCGCTGTTTTTGCAGACAGTCTATAAGAATTTAAACGCTTAGTAAATAGATTGCATCAAGTCAGTATGAAATACTGACTTGATGCAATCTGATGCAATGCTGACTACAAATAAATGTTAAGAAATCCAAGTGCATGATTAATTCTAAGCAACATAGAGTAGGAAGGCTAGATATCGAGGGAAAGTGAGTAGAAACAGTGAATAACTACAAATGTCTAGGAACCTAGGCAAATGAAATCAATGACCAAAGTAAAGAAATAAGGACACGCATTGAAATTGCAAGACAAGCATTTATAAAAATGAAAACAATGTTTTTTAATCGAGACCTTCCTTTGGAGCTAAGGATAAGAGCCTTAAGATACTACGTAATATCGACTTTGTGGTATGGAATGGAAAGCTGGACACTAACAGTAGATAATATAAAGAAGTTGGAATCATTGGAGATGTGGTGCTACAGAAGGATTTTAAAAATACCATAGACCCAACGAGTTACAAATGCAGAAATGTTAAGAAAGCTACAAAATAGTTACGAGGTCATAAAAGACATCAAAACAAGAAAGCTGGAATATTTAGGCCACATTACCAGAGGTGCGAAATATGGGATATTAAGGCCCATAATGCAAGGTAAAATCAAGGGTAAAAGATCCATAGGAAGACGAAGAATTTTCTGGCTAAGAAACCTAAGTGAGTGGTATAGTTTCAGCTCATTAAATCTTTTTAGATCAGCTGCTAATAAGATAGCCAACCTCCGATAGGAGATCGAACTTCAAGTAGAAGCGGGAATGAAGAATAGAGCTGTTAGAAGTTGATGAAAGGCGAGGTAGAGGAAAATCGAGAAGATGGAAGGACTATAGCAAAAGCTTGAGAGAGAAAGATTTACGTAAAGAAAACCTGATGGACAGAAATAAGTGGTGACGAATAGTAAAGAACAGCGACATCTTAAAAGGTAAAAGCTTAGAAGGAAGAATAAGAAGAAGAATAAGACCAAAATTATTACTAGTGACTGATAATTTAGATTTGGACAACAGAAGGAAATAATATACGGTTGATTAATTCAGATCCAAAACTATTTATTTTTATTTAAAGCTTGATTTGCAGAATCTTTTTAACTATAAGATAACATTCGAAGCGTTCGAATAGATAAAGTTATAACTTAATATGGACAGAATGTTTTATTACCACCATCCATCCACAATTCTAGTCTGCACATTACGAGGCATATAAAAATTTAAAGTTATATATTTCTTGTTGGAAAATTTAGTGATGAAGAATTTATAATAGTTCAACTCTCTTTTAATAATGCGAAATAATTTTCTGAATTATCTGATTTTATTTCAAATATGGGAGATAGATCGTTAGATTTGAAAATAACAGAAAACATTTTTTGAAATATCTATAAAATAACTAGTCAATGATGGTATTTAAATGTGCTCATAACTTGAAATGGCGCTTCTTCGTATAAAATACCCATAATTCACACACTCGTCATAACAGCGTACAAACCTTTAACAATCTTCTTTGATCACCTAGAATCAGCGGGAGCTGCGAAGTTATAAATAGCATCAAAAACTTTTTTCTGTACATCTTTAATCATTATCTTCATTTTTTCAGTATATGGGTCGAACGTTAAAACCCTCTTTTTTCTTCTGTATATTCCTTCCTTTCTCTCTATAGCACAATCGAACAACTCTTTATTTAAGGGGATATCTATAAATTCTATGACGGATCGTAAGGTATGCTCTACGTTATCTACCAACTGCTCGTAGAAGATTACGTGAGTAGGCCCTGTGAAGTTGTACAGCCAATCTAGATTCATGTTTTGCCATCCACGTAGTTTTTCGGTGACAAATTGTTGCCAATCTAAAACAAGATTTTAAAAATGGAAAATCAATCATATATATAATATCACTTTCATTTAACAAACAATCACACATCTATCTCTTTTTTTATCATTTCAGCATTTATTTAACTTTGTATCGAGACCTGAAGATGCTTTGCATATTGTAGAAAGTGAAACCGGTCGTCTGATAGTTAAATTAAATTGATTGTGAGTAAGTCTTATTTATTATTCCTTTACCTATTTGAAATGGATTCACACAGGCAACACATTCATGATTTCATAGTAATCACTTATATGCATCCGAATATATAATATAAATTTGTTACAATTAAGTTTTAATTCATAAGAATAACATAAATTGTTTAAAAATCTGTGGCAAATGGACTAGTTTTCATGCCAAACACACTACCATCATCATCATCAAATTACACTAAATTATAATCCTCAATTAGTTCGCTACCACAAATAACAAAAATTATGTAAAGGTTTTCGTGCTGTAGCTTAGCCATAAATATGATATAGTTGTCTTATAGTTATGGCAAAATTACGTTGAATGTATAGTAAAATAATACTTACATCGTCCCCTCATCCTTTTGTATCTATCCGGAGCAGCAAAACCAATATGCCCGCCGCTCTGTCGATTGAATTCCGCTTGAATAGAAGCGGCTGGAGTTCTGACAAGCAAAATGGCCTTGGAAAACTGACTTCTGGCGGATGGTCCCCACTCATGTGTTTTCACTACCAACACGGAACTGTTGTATACACTCTCGGCTGGAAAACCATTTTTTAAAAGGCCGTAATCTTTATAGACCGATCCTGTGTGATATCCTGCAATAGACAAAATGTTGTTATGCAGAGCGAACTGCAAAGTGATAAAAACAGGTATATTTTAAACAAAATTCAAAAGGTCAGGATGGAATGGAAGAATCAAGATACAGAGTTTTTAGAGAATAAATAGATTTTAGTTCTCAATAAGACAAATATTTAAAGGATCATTTTAATAAAGTAACAGTATTTAAAGGGGCCTCCAAAAGTATACAAAATAAGCTATTGAACTTATAGTAAATAACGTTGTACGTAGTAAATAACGGGTTGTTGATTTATGTAATCATTTATTTAAACACTACTGTACAGTCTTACAATGTTAATTATCTTAAATATAATAGTACTTAGTTGACGTTGTGACAATGCGTGATACATTAACTTGTCATCTTGACGTTAAATTAGTTCTGATCTCCAGATAATGATTGTTGTCGCTTTTAATAGCCCTGGCCTTGCCTGTATCAGCACTTTACTTATTCGTGTCAAGTTTGTTTCCTGACCTACACCAAATATATGTTGCGATTGGCAATAGTGCTGATTTACAAATTCTAATTAGACTATATTATTTATGAATGTCCTCGATTCAAATTACTAAACATATTTTATATAAACAAATGCGAAACTATGTTACACGAGTATGAATTATAATATTTTATATATACGAATTCTAATATTTTAGGAATAATATTACAGACTGTATGCTTGGCATTTACCATGATGAGGTAACTAAAGAAATTAACAAATCAAATTATGTAGCTATTATTGTCGATGAAACTACAGATGTCGCTAGAGAATTTTAGTGAGTCAATCTTTTTCTTTTGGTGCCTATCCTCTGTGGATCTTCAACCACGATGTCCTTCTGCGCCCTTGAGATCTTTTGCCTTCTATCTTGCCTTGTAAAATTAGTTGAATTAGTTGATACTTCTCATGGCGCATCGTATGTCCTGAGTATGTCATCTTTCTGATTTTCACGATACGCATAATTTTTAGATCTTTATTCATACGTTGGATTTAGGATGCATCCAAGATATGTAATTTTGTCGACTTATTTCAAGGGTTTATTATTAGCTGTAAATTGGTGCTGTATTACGTCGTTTTTATTTACTACAAGAATTTTGGTCTTCTTAGAGTTTAATTTCATGCCGTATCTGTCACAGGCTTCCACTACATGGTCTATTAATCTTTGCAGATCCTCTGCATTATCAGCAATCAAATCCTTTGTCATCAATACTAGATTCTTTCAGTATCTGAAATAATTTTAGATGTTGCACCTTGTCAAATGCTTTTTCAAAGTCTATAAAGTATGCGTAGACTTCGCAGTTAACGTATCGGGCATTCAAGCAGCGAGAAAATATTAAAATTTGAAAGTTATTTAAAAAAAATTTACCTAAGAAAGAATAGTTTTCAACTATCCACTCTTCCATGTATACAAAAAATACCCATCTTCAGAACTACTACCAAAATTATTAATATATTTTAGAAAATCCTTACCTGTAGCTTGTTGCAACAAGTATCTTAACCATGTGTTACCGCTTCCAGGAAATGAGGCCAAAGCAATAGCTTTTCCGGGGTGCTTTAGATATCTCAGTTCTGAACACCAATTTATTTTTGACCTACGCAAATTAGGTCGAAATCCTGGAAGACCATATTCAAAGCTTTTAGATTTTGACAGGTATCTGCTGTTGATATTTGAGCCGCCCTAAAACAACATTTTTTGATCTGAGCGAAAGTTTACAACTTTTATAGACAGTTGACCATTTCCCACCAGATGGAACTACAATGGGAGTAACGAGTTTGTAACGAGTGGTAAAGTTGATTTTGGATCAGGACGTATTGAAGGTAAGCGTATCAAAATTAAATCATCTCATAAATCCTACTGTTGACTATATTTCGAAATTAGAGTCAGATAAGCCTTTAACAAATTGAGCGCCATCTTCAAAAGTCACAACATATCCCTTGATACAAAAATGAGACATTTGAGATGCTATGTTTTCTCTGTGTTGTTGTACGGGGCGGAGGCATGGACGCTTACAGACGCCACTATTAAAAAACTTGAAGCATTTGAGATGTGGCTTTATAGAAGAATGCTTAGAATATCCTGGACAGCAAGGATCACGAACAAGGAAGTTCTAGGAAAAATGAAGAAGGAACCAGAGATTGTGTTTACGATCAAACGCATAAAATTGCAATATCTGGGACACCTTATGAGAAATCAGCACCGTTACTCCCTGCTACAGTCTATATTGCAAGGTAAAGTCAAAGGTAAGCGAGGACCCGGTAGAGGGAGAATATAATGGCTGCGGAATTTAAGAACATGGTTTAAGAAAACCTCAACGGAGCTGTTTCGAGCCGCAGCGAGCAAGGTTATGATTGCCAATATGATTTCCAACATCCGAAACGGATAGGAACCAGAAGAAGAAGAAGAAGCCTCGACTAAGTCAGGTCGATACTGCTTTACGGAGTAGAGACTTGGACTTTAAACAAGAGCAATATCGATAAACTAGAGGCCTTCGAAATGTGGATATATAGAAGAATTTTGACAATACCTTGGACAGACAAAATAACAAATAGTGTAGTTCTTCGAAGAATGAACAAAGAACGGGAGCTGTTGATCACCATCAAGAGAAGAAAGCTGGAATATCTTGGTCATGTGATGAGACGGAAAAAGTACCGAGTTCTTCAGTTAATTATCCAAGAAAATGATTGATGTTGTTTCCAGCCCCAATCTGTTGCTGTCAGTTCGTTGCCCAGCCATGTTTGAAGCTGATAATATGCCTGTAACAATGTTGTTCTGCTGCACCTTCTGTGGGTGGGAGATTTGACAATACGAAAGATGATTTGATTTTTGAAAATTGATATTTTTGAAATCGTAATTGATTCAGCGTTAGCTTACCATTTTTGTACTTAAAAATAGATTTGATTAATTGTAATCCATTTTTGCGATATCTTGTTTATTTGCATCTTTTTCATAAAAAATGTTAGCCAAACTTGACAAATTTTAAGCTTTTAATATTGAATTTACGATACTTTTCTTTCCTTTCCCGGCAAATCCAGATGTTATATTGCAACCAAAAATAATGCAGAAATGCAATCATATTTTTGCAAGATTCATATTTGAAACTATTCGACGTGAAAAATTGATCTTTTACAGTTCTAGAACCTGGTTTACTAATTAATTGAATCGAAAGGACCAAAAGATTAATATCTTGACCCACAACAATGACAGTTTTATTTGTATCTCTGGCAATTTCTATCCAAGTCTTAATTATATCAGCATCAGCATCTTCTGCTTGTTTACAGAAAAATCCTTGTGGCTGTAATATTTCGATTAACGTTTTGAATATTTCGATTAACGTTTTGAATATTTTGTCTTTATTTTTCTCGTTTCATAAAAATTTTTCCTGCAAAAATGGTATTTTAGTATGGTTTTGATAATGAAACTTTGGAATATTGTCTGAGGTTTTTCTACGACTACGTTCTCCTTTTTTAGTTGAATGAGCTGCTGGTAGTGTAGCAGTGTATTGTATTGTAATTTTTATATTAATAACAAAATAAACAATGAATTTTACGGCAGAATATATGTAAAAACATTGTTATGTATATAAAAATTTATACATATATGAAAATAAAAATATCTATTTTCATTAAAATATTGATACAATCCTTCGTTTACTATACTTCTATTACAGGTTAAATGTTTATATACAGCAAACGATGCACCATATAAATATATACCTAATTCTTTTTCTCTTTCTGTTCTCTCTTACCTATAGCATTACATATGTAATGATTGTGCAGATTGACTCCCATATAAATTTGTAACGGCGAACGCGTGTATAGAAGTATAACTTCTACCAGCAGTCCCACTGGAGTGCCACACCCGTTTTTTTATTTGCAGTAAAAATTCACCGTCGACGACGGTGCACAATGCACAATTCAACTCAATTCAACTGTCAATTCTGTCAAACAACTACAATAGCAGAATTGAGTTCTCCATTCAACAATACATAGTAGTTTCAACCATGTTCTATCATCCATCAATTAATAGAGTACCAGCATGTAAGTAGGATGTTTATTTATTTGCTCATTTATTAATTTATTACAATCTAATAGACTATTTTATAACAATTTGTGGGTCTTACCTTGTCTGTTTA